CAAAAAAGTGAATTTTACACCCTGAATAACACACACACACACACACACACACACACACACACACACACAGGGATAAGGGAGAGTAAGAGAGAAAAGTGTCTAGTCATCAGTCTAGGGATGGATGTAACCATGTATTTTAGTCCGCTGATCTGTAGGAGAAATCAATATGACACAGCCAGTGTAGGAGAGGGGAGGCAAGGGGAGAGTATAACTGGCCAAATGAGAAGGGGGAGAGGGTTGAGGAGGGTGGGAGGAACGGCAAGGGTTGGGTGACAGGAAGGAGTGGGGGAGATGAATCCAGAAAGGCGGACGAGTGTCAGGGACAAAAAGGAGAGGCGGATGAGAGGAAGCCAAATTAGACATTTAGCAAGGGCGAGGAGGGCAGCTGGACAACCTGAGGAGGACACTGTACGCTGCAGAGTGTGTGTGCGTGTGTGTGTCTCAAGAAAGCGAGAAAGGCAGCCAAAATACAGACTTGCATTACATTTGATTGTTTTAGCTCATCCAATGTCAGGGACAAAGCTGAATGTGATGTCTCCAAACAACAGCAAGCTACTTTTGGTGTTTATTAATAAAAAGTTTCATCCTGTCATGTTTCATCCAACTCATCTTTTGGATTTGTGCAGCAGATATTGTGTCACTAAGACAAAAGAGACAGGAATTTTGTATCCATCAAACTTTTATCACTGCATCAGGAAAGACAGTAGTTTCAGTTACAGAGGAAAGTAACTGTGAAGAGTCCCTGTGAGGAGCCTCTCTGTAAGCCGGACGGTGGTCCTACCTGGACAGGGAAGTGGAAAGAGGTCGATGTCCGGCATACGATATACAATGTGGTCATTCTGCTCCTGAAATGCAGAACAAACAGAGTGACGGAAAAAGAGAGAGGAGGGAGGAATTAGTCTTTTTTTCTGTAGCAGTAAAGCATGTTCAAAGTAAAAAAATAAGTTTTATGTTAAGTAGAATTTCTTTTTTTGAGCTGCTTGTTTTAAAATTATGACTCAAACCTGAACAAATCATTTTTATAACTTTAGATGTATTAACACCAGCTCTATACGAGACATACTTTTAAAATCAGTCAAGCTTTTAACTGACTTCTTCTCTTCCTGAACTTTAGTCTAAACCTTTTCTGTGAGAGAAAGCACTGCCGTGTCCTCTGAGGTAGAGAAGGTTCAACGGGAAGGAAATTGCTCTGATGCATAATTAATCAATCACTGGGCTGTCATAATGGCAATAACACTACTGGACACTGTGGTACACTTGAGCTGGGGATAAATACTTTATGAAAATGACCCATCTGAGATGGAGAACCGAGGAGAGAGAAAGAGAGTGAGGGAGTTTGAAGATGAGCTGGGAGGCCATTGATCCATCTCTCCAGTCTATGTAATTGAGCTGTACTTCGATTACTGTGGGCCTTAATGGAAAAAAAAAGCTCAGCCTTTTCCACTCTAAACACTTTCCTCCCACTCCCCCAGTCACTCTGTTATACATCCATTTCTTTTTAATACTACATCTATTTTAAAATCCAAAACGTTTTTTTTTTGAAAGATCTCAAAAGCCTCTTAAACTTTCTGTTTGTGAGGATTAACTTTAAATTTCTCCCCTCTCTCCCTCCTGTCTCCGTCTCTGTGAGATGATGTCTCCCTCCGATATGAGACAGGAGATGTGTTTCAGTGGTGGTAGATTGTGTATCAACTCAATACTTTCCATACAGCAACTCAGAGATAGAGTAACACTGTCTGGACTGATGGTAAGTCACGGTGAGATATGGAGACAGAGAAACATAGTGATACTGTGGGCGCCCTCACTATAAAGACTTCAACCATATTTTTCACCTCCTAACGTCCTGACTCACCTCGCCGCTGCCAACAGGTTCAATCCCATATGAGAAGTTCCCGTCAGAAAACATCCCCCTGAAACCAACAAAACACAGCAGTATGTCACTTTATGTCTGGGGATGTTTGTGTTGATGGAAGAAAAAGGCGTAAAAACAACAAATCACCATTTTACGAGGGGATATGTGTGAGACTATTTATTGACTTTTTGTACAGATTAATTAATTAAATATATATTAATTAGTGAGCTTAAGATGTTTTTGTAGGCAGATTTTACTTTTGGACAGAGAACGGCAAGTTGTTTCTCCCCGTTAACAGTCTTTGAGCTAAGCTAAACCAAGCAGCTGCTGGCTCCAGCTACATACTTAACATACAGATATAAGACTAAAATGTTGTAATTTTCAACCAAACTAAAATGGGAAACTAATTGATTTCCTACTTGAGGACTTTAGAAAATCGACACTGAGCCCCTAAATTTACAGCTTTGAACATTTGAATCACAGACAAACACCAAACTTTGGGTCCTGACTGAGTCTATATTTGTGGTGAAACGACAATATTTACTCAAAGTATTAGACTCACTGTAGGCCATGGCAGGTGGACAGAGCGGCCCAGGAGCCCGGCAGCCCGCGCACACGCCCATGATAGTAGCAGTGCTCTCCTCCCTGGAAATAAATAGTTTACAGTGAGACACTGAACCCTCCATCCAATTCAGAAAATGAAACCAATGCCGACTGTGAACGCCCTCCTGGCCCCTAAATACACAGAGGGCAAGTATTTACTGTCAGCCTGGGGCCTACAGCCACGGGTCAGCTGAAGGATATCGGTGACTCCTGTACGACTCAGGGTCCGGAAAAACTACACCTACAAAAGCTGCCGCTGAGTTAAGTTTCACCAAGGACAAACTGTGTGCATACAATGTGCGTGCTTGAGTGATGGAGAGAGCAATTAAAGTGCCAGAAGAACGGGGGTGAATGTGAATTCAGATTTTTCCTTCAACAGCACAGTTTTAATGAAAAGAAAGCTAGTTTTGTGCATGCATTGACCTTAACCTTGTGAGTCTTAAAACTCATTGTTTTGATTTAATTTAACAGCAAACCACGTGATGGCAACAATTTCAGTTTCCTGCAGCACAAACTTGGGAGAATAACACAGCCAGAAAACAACCCAGCTCAAGTTTACTGTGTGTGTAAATTGACACAATGGTGGCTGTGAAACATCTAGAGCCAGTGTTTGGTTTGTATGTATTGTATGTGCTGGGCTACTGTAGAGACATGATGATTTAACATGGAGGACTCGGTCCAACTGTGGATAAAAAAACAGCTTAGTGTATTTTTAGGTGATTACATACAAATAAAAAGTTATTTTTTTTAAAAAGAATTCCATAAATTTATCATTGCTCTTTTATAAAGTTGAAAAAAGCCCATATCTTCAAAACCTCATCCTCCCAGTTTGTAACTCAGGCTTTCTATTAGTATTTTGTCTCAAAGCTCAAGCCAAAATAACTTGTACATACATACATACAGAAGACATTACATTACTGTTTTTAAAGGCTGATTAGTTAAATTGACTTTGACATGTAAAGTCGGTGGAGTTAATGTAGGATCATTTTTTCAGAGGCTGTGCCAGTTTCAGCTGATACATTCAGTTTGGAAGAAGTGCTGGAAGGTGTTAGCTGTACAACCCGCTTCCAGATACCTTCACCTGATTATTCATAATCCCCTGGAAGGCTCCAACTGGATGATCGTGTTTGGAATATAGTGTTTCCACGCTGCCTCTCACAGTACAGGAATGATCAGATTACGACAATCGGAGAGCAGACTTGCCACTGTCCATCAAGTAACATGTGCATGTGTAAAAATGTGTGAGAAAAAAAGAGTAGTTGAGAAGAAAAACAACTGTGCAGGGCAGTGGAGGATTTAAAAAAATAAAAATCAATCGGCCTTATCTAAGTGGACGGAGATTACAGTCACGTCTTTGTTTATAGCTACTTAAAACTATGGAGTATATGCCTGTGTGTGTGTGTGTGTGTGTGAAAGAAAGGGTCAGTGTCAGGTGTTTGTAATGAACTCCAATAAGTCATGTCTGCCACCTGAGCCTGCTGTTGTCTGGCATGGTTGATAGACCAAAAAGAAAAGAGGCATCGTGGAGCTGCCGCTCTCTATGCTTGGTCAACCTTTACTCCGAGCTGCACGTCAAACCAGGAATATCTCTCGGACATCCTGTCAACTCAGGTACGAACTTGCAAAAAATTATTTCCCAACTTCAGCAATGTTAAATCAATAACAAAGAGCTGTGGGCAAGGCTTCATCTGAACATGGGCTCCTGTAAGGCTGCAAAGTGCAATATCTAAATTTCAAAAGCTGTAATATTTTAATAAAAGCTCAAATGTGTGACAAAGCAGCATTATAATGAAACAGAAGCAGCAAATGGCATTATGCTGCAAAAATGATAACTCTATTGTGAATATAACACAATCATATCTGTCAAAAAAACATTCTACCACATTGTACAGCTGTATACTTTACCCAAAATATCTAAATCACACATAGGCAGCCAGGTTCCTGTTGATAAGAAATCAATGCCTGACCGGGTTATCTGTCAATTCCTCATCCCGCCTCATGTCAGTCACACACAGCTCTGAGAGAAAGCTATAACTAAGGTCTTTTCTATTCCTCACCAGGTGTGAGAGTCTAACATGGGGGAGCTTTAGGTGAAGCTGTGTCTGTACATGTCCTGTCATACACGATGTCTCAGACCTAAGAGGACACACAGTGCTGGTTTGTGTTTGATGAAATGTGGAGGAGGGGGTGTTAATGCATTCTGTCTGTCTTGTTCTCTCTGTTTTGTTGTTGTGTTTTTACACTGATCTGATTACATGAAGCTGTTAAAATGTTCAAACCTTAAAAGGATGTAATTGCTTTACCACCAGTTCCATGTGACAAAACTAAAGGATGAGGCTTTCACTCACAGACTGGAAGAAATTAGTGTCTGCTTTATTCTTGCATGATTACATCAAAATGCATCTAAATCACTACAACTAACTCCTCTACAATAATTGTAGTTGGTTAGAAAATTCATCACAATTCCTCTGATCAAAAGCAATATCTCAAAACAATGAATGCAAACATCCCAGTATTTTTCATACAGCTTATTTAGATTCATCATCAGGTCATCTGTTGAGGAAGAAAAGGACTTTAATCATTCATACCAAATAGTGAGACAGCCCCACAGCACTTAGTCCAGGGTAATATAATAAATAAATAAAAGGTAGGATTACAAGGCTAAATGGAGGAAAATCAAATTGCCTAACACAGCAGACACACACACTGACTTTGAGGCACTGAGTGCGCTTTTCAGAATAGATGTAAGAGCTTCAAATAATGGCCACTCACACAGGCAAATAAATCATTTTTGTATAAGAAAACATGGATTAATCGTGAAATACCATCAGTGCTGGGAGGACCGGGACAGGTAAGCAGGACACTAGACACATAAGAGTACATAACAAGGACATAGAGAGTGACTGACAATATGGGTGAAATAAAAACTGCTTGCACACACAAATGGAGGCTAATAAACAGTTACGTCCCTCCAATAAGAGAATTAAATTTGACATTATAAACTAACTAAATTAGAAAAGCTGGAGTTTACTCGGTGTCTGGACTTTGACTCAGCATTGTTGAGCTGAGAGGAGCGGAGGAAAGGTAATGAAACAATAGGAGCTAATATAAAGTGAAAGGAAGACAAGACAGAACAAAAGCATCAGTTGGGAATATTAGACTCCCTCAGAAGAGAAGCATGTTTACTCCCAAATGAGTTTTTTTAGATACAATAAGCTTTATTGCACTGGCAGGCAGAAGACAAACTGAATAATTTAACAGTAAAACTATTTAGGGAGAAATATTAAGAGACTTAAATTAATGAGAACAGTGAACACAAACACTTTCTCGGCGTCTCTCTCCGTATTTGATTGCAGCTAATTCATCATCAATGCCCAGGTACTGAGATTAATATTTAATATGCAATGATGCAAGCACTGTCTATCAATGCATTAGTCTGTAAATAATATAATTGCTACCGAGCTCAAGCTCAGTATTTTATCAATCAGAGTGCCAGGAATTCAAACAAAGATGTTTTCCCCATTGACATCCCATATGTTTCCAAGCAATCACTATATACCAAAGAGCTTGTTGGTATTCGGGCTCAAATATCAGTCTTGACAGATTTTGAAATCCAAGAAAATAAAAATACACTTATTTTCAGCAAGTATTCAGCAGGACCCTAACAAATACATAAAACAGCTCCCATCGATTCCCTCCTCATCCCTAATTCTGTTCTTCTTTTAGTCGTGTGTCACTGAGATTTAATTCCAATGAGCCCACTGAATGCAATAGCACAGATACACAGGGATAATGTTAACTGAAATCTGCCAACTATTTTATGGTCATAGGATAAATGGGTTTAAATGTTAAATTTAAACAGCCAAACAGTGGTATACTAATAAATAGCCATTCAGACATAACAACTTATAACAACAAAGATAATTCAATATCATTTTTTAATTTCCCCATTACTGATTTCACTAACTAACTAACTAAAGACTAATATTGATCCTACTATATTCATCTAAATTGAATCTATTCTTTAGAAACATCTGCCTGGTCTTTTTAAAGACTGTATTTGCAACATATACCTAATTCTGTCAAAAGCCTTTGATACAGAGACACTTTATTGTGTAAACAGCATTAAAAGCATTAAAATCATTTGTATGTGTGTATGTGTATATTTTTGGCTAAAAATTAAAACTTCCAACACTAACTATCTTAGATTAATGAGCTGTCAGTCTCACAACATGCAATTACCCCATGGTGTGCCACAAGGATCTCTTCTTGAGCTACTATCATTTCTAACTTATATAAGTCCATCTTCCACGTTCCACCCAACATTGGAAACTAAATATTTAAAAAGCTACCACCAACGTTACTATTTTAAGTGGGAAAAGAACATATTGAAACGTACAGAGCTTAACAAATAGATCAACACATACGTTTTTGAGAATTAAAAAAAAATCTGGTTTAATTTATTGGTTTATATTTGTTTTTGACACAACACGCAACACAATTTTGACCAAGACATATATTGAATGTCTTTGTGCTCTGGTGAAGAAAGAGAGACACTCACAATTACTGTACCACATTTGGCAGATTTATCAATCAGGCTCTAAATTATTTATCAATGATCTTTCTTGAGAATGATAAAATGGTCTTAGCTTAACATCTTACTAAATTGCAGAGCACTTTTCTCAAATGTACATCTTCCTTTACCTCTTTCAGAACATGTATAAACATATATTATATAATTCAGTTTTTATGTTTTTAAATACATCTTTGATGTTGTTGTGATTGTTTTATATTATATTGATTGATAATGAATAAATCCATCCTCTCCTTGCACTCAATATTCCATATTATTTATGTATTTATTTCATTTGCTTGATTTTAACCTGTGCAAATACTCCTTTAACTCAATGACTGGTTCCACATCTGGTTCCAAAGGTTAAGTCAGACAGTGGTTGTAAGATTTGGTTTAGCTGGTTCTGGAAATGTATGTGATTTGAATTCCCCTCACGACACGACAAAATAGACCCTAGCTTCTGCTGCTGACTGCAGGTACCCATGGCAACCATCTGCTGATTGGTCAGGTGGTCTTTGGCAGAGAGAAAGAGCGAGAAAGAGAGATAGCAGGAAAGGGACAGAAAAGAGGGAGGGACAGATGCTAAAATGAAGCAGAGGATGCAGACAGAGAGAGACCGTTTCTCAGATGATGTTGAGAGTCGAGCTGTCTGCGTTAAGCGCCTGTCTCCGAGACTGTGTAAACAAACTGAACTCAGAACATCATTATACGCCACTCTGCTTAGCTTTATAATGCGTGACAGACGACAACATCAACAATTCAATCATGTGTCCATGTGCAACTGCAGGTAGAAGAGTTGTTTTTGTATATTACTTCCAAAACACATGAGTCAGCCTATACACACCAGGTCCAACAGTTTACAGAAGCCTCAAAACATTTGCATTTCCTATGAACTTCTTCCCAAGGGCGAGATAAACAAGCACCGCTATTGTTGTTAATGAGTATGTTCAATTTCACTCAGGGGGAATACACCTATTGGAAACCTGCTCTAATAGATACTGGACATAAAAGCTATACTGGTGTCGGCATTGGCACAAAATCAATTTCTTTCAAATTGGCTATGATGGAAAACTCTCTCACTGACTTCTGTTCAATTCTGATAGATTCTGATAAAATGATGATGCCTCCTATATAAGGCTACAACCAGCTGCCACTTGATTAGTCATTGAGACTTATTATCTAAATCTCAATAAGAAAGCGGACAAGTGTATTTCCGAAAATGTCAAACTATTTCTGTTTCTTACCATATTCTGTGACAGCTGCCCATCCTCCTCATAGTGACGCTCCACATACTCTGTAGACAGGAGATTGCTGGTGAGGAGAAGAAGAAGAAAGAAGTGAGAAGAACCATAAAGACTTTAAGTTTTAATTTCAACACATCTGTAATTGTTTGACAAAGCAAGATTGTAGCATTGTGTGACTATTAAAAGGCCATTATGTGTCATTAAGAGAAAGATCTTTTGCATTATAATCTAGATAAACAAATTGCCTGATTTGTACGTAAAACCAAAATGTATGAAGATCAATTTATGCTAAATGCTTAGAAGGTCAGTGAAAGGTGCAGTTCAGTTCATTAGAGCCAAACGTGTGTCAAGCAAGAGGAGGGGGAAGGGAGGTGTACATTTAGAGTGTTGTTTAGCCCGGAGCCAGCCCGTATAATGCATATACACAGGACATAAAGTACAATACTGTAGGTGGGTGGAAGAGACGGATAAAGAAAGATAGACCGTGAGCATGCGAGCACAGTGATGTCAGTGACTGCTGTAAACAAAGCACTGAGACATTGTTTTGTGCATCTGTGGTGTGGATGTGTGAATGCTTTGCAGGCATGTGTTCACATACTGGTTGAGTTCCAGGTCAAGGATGAAGGATTTGCCGAAGGCCTCCACCAAGAAGCTGCTCTGGGCCAGATGGACGGGCTGAGGGAGGGATGGAGGGAGGCGAAGTTGGGAGAAGGAGGCGTAAGAGATAGAGAACAAAAAAAGAGCTGAGATATACATTTACATTTTAGATACTGATTTAAGTAGCAACACAAACTCAGAGAAATTGAATCTGAATCCGATTTATGAATGTCCGCTGTCCACTTTCCTTCTCAGTCTCAATATGCAAGTTAGATAGGCAGAGCTGGCGGACAACAAAGCAAGAGGGAGGCATGCATAGCGAGAAAAGGGAAATGGCCAAAAGCATTGCTACATTTTCATGTTTTTCATTATCCAGATACAATATTTCTGCACTATCAAACTGTGACCTCCACTGGCCATTAAACTTTCAAAATGTTTTCCCCAAGATCCAATCATTACATTTTTTATTGCAATTTGTTGTTCCTGGAGCTATTTTTGCCCTTTGCATTGTTTGAGGAAGTGTCTAGTAACAGCACACTCAAAAAGGTTTTTTTTTTAGTTCCCTTGCTGATTGTTTTGAGTATACTTTATGTCACTTTTCTAGTCTAAACACACTACATACTCAAAACCTGCTTGGGATTAGTTTGTCATAAGGAGTTAGCACAGAGCTTTGGTGTTTGTGCATTAATGTTTGTGTAGTGTACAGTGTTATTTGCATTTATTCTTCTTTAAAGGCTTCATGTCAGAGTTTTCTACTGCAACATGGCACTCCAATGCGTCAAGTCAATTTTAAATTACTCCATTTATAAAGCCCAAAGTCACATATTTGTCTCAGAGGGCTTTGGCAATCTGTACACACCCTCTATCCTTAGATTGTCAACTTGAACAAAAAAAACCTTTAACTGAGAAACCACAGGAGGATCAAACGGAGGAGGAAGCCCGCTTCCAGGATGAAGACATGCAGCAGTCAAATTACAATTAAAAAAAAATCTCTTTAAGTCAAGGTCATCCATTCATTTTTGTGCTACAGTTCCTAGTTCGTGTTTCATGGCTCTGAAAGGAGGGCAGTAGTCAGTATACTAAGCATAAATAACTATTAAAAGCTTACTTTTAGATGAATAAACCATGCATCTTTTATTCACATCCCTGCATTGTGTTGGTTCCAGACACTGACTCAAACAAATGAGTCACGTACATTTGTCAAGTATTTCATGCTTTCAGGGAGATTTTGTGAAAAAATGTGACAGAATATGACAAAGAGAGAGTTGAGGAGGGAAGAAGATTGATGGAATATGAAATTATTTAACCGAAGCAACAAAAGACGATAATAAAAAGGGACCCCGTCCTCCAGTAACCTCTCCCTGAAGGCGAGACAGCCTCATCTATCCCCGAGGCTTTTTGGACAAAGAGTGTTGGGGCTCATCAGCTCTGTCTAACCTTGCTCCAAGGTGAACCCCATATCCAGAGTCAGAGCTCTGTGGTGGCTCCCATCAGTACTTACTGGCTAGCTGCAAGGCAGGTCTCATTAGTATTACAATGCACTGTCTGCAAACCACTTAGTATCAGTCTAAATCTCCACTTGGTCCATATACTGTACAATAGAAAGCCCACAATGCTGTCTGTGAGCAGAGATAAGAAAGCTGCTGCAGAGCCCTGACTGTGAAGACTTTTTATTGTATTTTATATTTTAACATAAAATTCTAAATATAAAATTTTGACACACCATACTGTATTTCAGCTCAAGACACTGAGTCCTATGGTTGATAGAGACAAATAGGTTACACATTTTCAAAAATTATTTGCTTCTAAACTCTATTTTAAAGTATAAATAGACAAGATTTGCTGGTTACAACTTCTAAAGTAATAAGCTAACACAGATCTTTTTCACAGCAGCCATATTGACATTAAATAGTAGGGTAATCACAGGTGTTACCAGTGATACTAATCACAGTTCTGTTCCACTTAGTGTAGCAGAGCCTTTTCTAGTGAGACAACGTACATAATAGAAGCACACTGACTCTGTTTGACCTGAATGGAACTGAGCCT